CTGCTGCCAGCACCGGGGCTGCCACATCCCCTGCCTGGCAGAGGGGATGCTGCTGCAGCTCCGGGCCCCCAGGTTCAGCTGGCAGCGAGGTCGAGCAGGGATGGGCACGGGCAGAGGCATCCCTCCGGTAAGCGCCCTCAGACACCCAGTTGCCCCAGTCTGGCCCTGAGATCCTCTCATCTGTAGCTGCCTCTTGCGCAGGCACGCACACCCCAACGGGTCCCAGCTGACCCCAAACCCCGCGCTCTCGCTAGTGGCTGGCTTGGACCTCCCGCTCCCTCCAGCATCCAACCCCTCCTGCAGCCTCACTCACAGAGACCCACTCGAGCACCCGGGGCTCTGGGCTGATCCCCAGGCCCCACAGGGGGCCCTGGTACTCCCAAACCACCCTGGCTGCCTCCCTTTCCCACCTCCAGTTCCTCCCCTCAGCCTCCCACTACAAGTTTGTCGCCATCCCGGGATGCTTTCCCCACATCCCGCGGCGAGTACCAGACCCCGCGGGTATCACCCCCCTCCACCCGAGAGCTGCCCCCCCTTCCCATGGGCTCTTTGCAACGGGCTTCTCACCCGGTGATGGGGGCTGCTTCCCCTCCTGCAACAGCCCGGGGAGGGTCTCAGGGCTGTGCCCACACCTCTCCAGCCTCCTCTCCCTTTGGTCCCCCACTGAGGGGGACGTAAACCACCCGATGTACCAGCCACACGACTGTGTACCCGATTATACCCCTGTTAGCTGGGAGTCCTTTTAGGATGTCTCTAGTCACAATTCCAGAATCCCAGCATGGCAAGGGTTGGAAGGGACCTCGGGAGCTCACCCAGTGCCACCCCCCTGCCCCAGCAGGCTCACCCAGAGCAGGGGACACAGGACAGCGTCCAGGCGGGGGTTGAATACCGCCAGAGAAGGAGACTCCACAGCCCCCCTGGGCAGCCTGGGCCAGGGCTCGGGCACCCTCAAAGTCAAGAAGTTCTTCCTCCCGTTCAACTGGAACCTCTTCTGCTTCAGTTTGTGCCCATGGCCCCTTGTCCTGGTGCTGGTGCTGGTGCCTGTGCTGGGCACAGCGGAACGGCTGCCAGATTCAGCATCTGCACAGGGGCCAGCATGTCTGTCTGTCTGTCTGAAAGGGGAAATTGTCTGTGCCAGGGCAGCCAGGGCTGCTGGGGCAACCCCAGCCCTGTCATCATTTCCATAAGGCACCGGTGTCAAAAATGACATTATCTGGCCATCTTTAAACCAAGGCACAGCGTCTCCCGAGCTGCCCCAAACGCACGCGGCGTTGCATCGGTGAGGATGCGCTGCTGCACATCCTATTTGTAATGTTTGAGCAGCTGCCTTTTATAGCCACATACAATGCTCCGAGCTCCCTGGGTATCTGCAAGAGCATTTTGACAATATATTAAATATGCTTTATCTATATTCAAATTACAGGCTCAGTAGCAAGGAGTAAAAATCAAAGCTCGTCAAAGACACCAGCAAAAGCCTGACACTAATTACACAGTGAGGGGCCACCAGCCTCACCTGGGAATGCCGTTCGGCAAGGGGAAGGCTTTCCCTTGTCACCTCTCATCTTCATTTCTCATCTTCCTCCCTGGCTTTTGGCTCCTGGGAGG